GCCGGTTTTTCTGATTGACAAAGGTGGTTATGGGGAAGATGAAGAGTCATCTCTCCATTAAGTCTTTCTAATCACATGCACTTGACGGTTAAGGAAGTGTCAAAAGTAGTTATCCAATAGGTAAACATTGATTATGATGGAGTGGGTAGTGGTGCATGGGAGACAAATTTTGGCTAACAAAAACTATTGTGATGCAATGATGACATCACCTGTACTTTTCTGACTTCCTTACAAAGATGCTGAAAAATCACACATGTGATCCTAGGAATGTTGCAGCATTGGCAGAACATCAACTTCCCATGATAGATTCCTTGAAAACAACCTACATAAGAACAAACTAATAAAATATAATAGCTCTAAAATAGAAATATAAAGAGGGGAAATATGTACAAACAAACTTGGACTTGAAAAATTCCAAAAACACCTTCATTCTAAGGTATAGCCCAATTCTCAGAGCAATGCTCTGGGAATGCTACAGTATCATGAAATACTTTAACCCGCTGCCCATTCACTTTAAACACCGTGTTGTCCTCCGGGTTAATGAGGTCAACCGCTCCATAAGGGTAAACTTTATTAATGACAAAGGGTCTGGACCACCTAGACTTGAGCTTTCCCGGGAATAGTTTCAACCTAGAGTTAAACAAAAGGACCTTTTGTCCTTCTTTCAACTCCCGGTGTTGGATCTTTGTCTTTTCTTTATAAAGTTTGGCATTTTCATAAGATATTTGTCTTTGTTCTTCCATTTCACAAAGTTGAAACTTTCTTTTCTTTTCGGCTTCATCCAAAGACATGTTGAGCTCTTTGATAGCCCAATATGCTTTGTGCTCAAGTTCTAAAGGCAAATGGCAAGCTTTTCCATAGACTAGCTTATATGGAGACATACCGATTGGTGTTTTGAAAGCAGTTCGGTATGCCCACAAAACATCGTCTAATTTGAATGCCCAGTCCTTCCTATTAGGCTTGACCACTTTTTCCAAAATGCTTTTAATTTCCCTATTAGAGAGCTCTGCCAAACCATTAGTTTGTGTGTGATAGGCCGTGGCGATTCTGTGGTTAACATTGTATTTTTCAAGGACTCCTTTTAACAAATTATTCACAAAGTGGGTACCCTCGTCACTAATTAGTGCCCTTGGGGTACCGAACC